ATCTACCCAATAAACATCAAGACAAGAAAAATTTGTATAAACGTTTAACTTCACATTTGAACATCGTTGAAGTTGGGGTGAGGAAGGTGGAGGATTAGAGTGGAGGTGGGGGAGGAGTTGGAGGAAGGGATAAGAGTAGAGGTTAGGGTGGATTGGAAGTGGAGTTGCCGTATTAAGGGAGAGAAGTTTGGGCAGGAAGAAGCCTTTTTTGCAAATATATAAAATATGTTTATGGATCTTTTTACAAATATTTATTTTAATCAATAAAAAATAAAAAATTTAAATGGCATGGCATATAATATGGCACCACGTGGAGTGTTGAGCTGACTTTCCATTTGCCAGCTCAGCATTTAACATAGGAAAAGTTAACGGTAGGAACCAATTCCTAAATTACTAACTTTAGAAGGATCATTTTCTAACAAAAATATTTATAAGGACTAATTACAAAAAGATCTATATTTATAGAGAGCAAAAACATAATTAAGCCTATATTTATATTCTTAAATTAATTTTTTTATCAGAGTAAAAAAATAACTATATTTATATTAAAATAATAAATATAGATTTATATAATATAATTATCAATTTTATATAATAAATATACATTCTGTGACAAACTATCTGATATATACATATATATTTTAAGTAAAAATTATTAATAAAATATTTATTATTGCATTATATATTAAATTTATCTTATTTAAAATATTAAAAAATTATAACTTATTTAAAAATAATTTATATATTTATATCATTAACATAAGTTATTTTTTGTTTTATGATAAAATAATAACACTTACTTTAATAATTAGTTCAATTTTATAATAAGATAAAATTAATAATAATAATAATAATATAAATGTTATATTATAAATATTAGTGATACTAATGTAATTTTTTTAAATTTAATATACTCTAAAATATGGTGTTAATTTAAAAATTAAATACTTAAATTTATTTTATAAATAATATTTTAAAATTTAATATTAAAAATTATTTTATATATTGCATAAGGTTAAAATACTAGTATATATATATATATATATATATTATAATTATGTAAATTAAATAAAAAATTTAAATAAAGTGTAAAAAATTTTAAACTTATATTAATGTAAAAAAATCTTTATATATATATATATATATATATATATTTGTACTGAAAATTTAAGCTCAAACTAAATACAATACAAAATTAATAATATAATAAAATAAAATAAAAATACTGAATAAAACATGTAGAGATATGAAGTATCAGATGGTAAGCAAGAAAAATAATTCCCTAAATAATGTAAGAATTCTGATATTGAACAACAACTGCTAAGTGAAGTAATATAACACCCTTAAAAAATATGAAATAAATATCTCTTTCCCTTTTTTTTCTCCACTCTCTCTCTCTAGATTTTTTTCTGAAGCTGTTTTGCCGTCTCCTGTCTCTTTTTTCTTTGTTCTGAATTTCTTTCTCTTGGCCTTTTGCTGTTCAAATTCTTTCTGTCCCTTCTATGCTCTTTCGTGTCCCCCTCGCTATCTTTGTTCCGTTTCCTTTTTATTCTTTCAATTAAATTTATTGCCTTCCTCTCCCTTTGCTGTGTGACTGTGTCTTCCTATTTTTCTTTCAAATTCCTTCTCCAATGTTTTTTCTTGTTCTATCCGTTGCTTCCCTCTTTTTTTTTTTTTTCCAGATTAATTACTTTAATTCCCTTTAATTGCTTTACGTTTCTCTTTCATTTTTTTTTAATTTGATTCCTTCCTTAATGTTTCTTTCTTTTTTAGTCCTTCCATTTCTTTCAAATTAATTGCTTTAATTCCCTTCCGCCTCACTTGTCTTCCTATTTCTTTCAGAATTAATTGCTCCAATCAATTATTTTGATTGTTTCATTAATTCATTCTTTATTTTTTTTTCCTTTTCTATCTGTTGCTTCCCCCTTTCAAATTTATTGCTTTAACTCCCTTTAACTGCTTTACGTTTCTATCTCTTTTTCTAATTGATTCCTTCTTTAATGTTTCTGTCTGTCTTTTTCCATATGTTGTTCCTCTTCCAGTTCTTTCAAATTAATTGCTTTAATTCCCTCCCACCACTACAATAAAATAGAGATTTAGTAACATGTATTTTATACTATAGCTGTAAAAAAAAATAAAATTGCAAATTATAAATAACAATATCTTTTTAATATTTCAGCAGCATTTCAAATATTGCTAAATTGTTTTAGCAACATGAACTTTATACTATATTTGTAAAAAAGTTAATAAAATACAAATAGCAACACTTTTTGATTTTTAGCAACATTTTTTTTTAAATATTGCTAAATATATATATGTTGTAGGCGCCTCTCTTGTCCGTTCTTTTTTCTTTTTTCTTTTTAAATTTGTAACATGTATTTTTAGTTTTTAAAAAGAGAATTTTTTTTTTAAAAAAATTAGAAACAAACATGTTTATAATTTTTAAATTTTTTTAATAATGGATTAGAAGTATTGGTCTAACTTTTTTTTATTTTTTAGAATGAGTCTAAATAATTAGACAATCTTATTTTTGTTCTTTCTTTTCTTTACTAGTCCTAAAAATAAAATATTTTTATTTTTTAAAAAAATTATCCAAAATTATAATAATAACACCAACGTTATAATATCAAATATAAAATATAAGGTTCGCGTTTCAAATCTTTCCATTTCCAATCCACACATTGCAAGCATTGGTTCATATTATTATTATTATTATTGTGTGATCACTATGTTTAGGGGATGATTTTTGGAGGAGAAAGGAGGGGAGGACTTATTTTTATATTTTAAATATATATTTAAAATTAATAATTTTTAAAATAAAATATATAAATTAATATAATAATAAAAACTTAATGTATTAATAGTATATTTGTCATCCTAAATAATATATAATTTTTATAATATAAAATTAAAAAATAAGCCCTCTCTTTTTATCCTTTTCAAAAATTCTCTCCCAAACATATCTTAAAGAAGTGTACAGTAAGACTGTCTGTCTTTCAACATTCATTCTGTCAGGATTAAAAATAACAAACAAAAATTTTTGTGTTATAAATCCTTTATTTTTATTTTATATTTTAAAAATAAAAATTAATAACATAAAAAATGAAAATAAGAAAAAAGTGTCTAGAAAAAAAAAAAAAAGATAGAGAAAGAATATGAAAAGAGGAAAATATTGAATGAAGTATGAGATTAAGAAATCCTTTTGTCAATATTAAATAGTGTGAGTTATATCTTGAGTTGCAGATATTAGTTGTTATAAAATTTGTTCCATTTGAAATTTAGCATTGCTGTCTACGAATGTTATGAAGAGCGTATGACTTAATTTTGATATTTGGATAACTAAAGATTATATGAAAGTTGTTAGAAAAGTAAGAGAGTGAAAGAAATAGCCAATATTCACTTACTCATGTCTAGAGTTTTTTAAGTGTTCTTTTGACGTGGAATCAATCACATTTGAAAAATAATTTTGAGGTCTAAAATTTTTATGAAGATATTAAATCTAAAGAATGAAATTTTGTGTATTATTTTAAGGATAAAAGTGAGCTATTTAATTAAACATTTATATTAAAATTCTACATTTAAAATAAAATAAAATTTATCAAACCTCTTCTTTAAAATCTCACATTAGGCAAATCAATCTCTTTGATCTCTCCTCCCCTGTATAAAAGATGAGCTACCAAGTGCTTAGGTATTATCAAGAAATCAATATTATGGATTTAGTGTTAAATTACATAGCATTATTTTAGTTTTTTTTTTTTTATGGAGAGTTATGCCTATGCTTTAACGTTCATTTTTTTAAGGCCTATACTAACGTTGGGTGGACATTATTTTTAGGTCAATTCAATGGTACCTTAAAAAAAATTATGAGTACAGTATCCTAAAAAAGTAAAAAAATAAAAAAATAAATATGTGACAACTTATTAATGACATATATTAATATATAATTTATTTAGCATTATTATTATTATTATTATTATTATTATTCTTTGCTAATCAATCCTTTTATGTGTTAGAAGATTTAACCTTTGATTAACGTAAGAATTGGATGTTCAGTTTTATTTTCACTTAAGCGAAAGTGAACTCGCTTAAGTGAAAATGCAAAAAACGACAAATTTTTTTATGTAAAATTAGTTTAAGTGAATTTTGTAGATTCGCTTAAACGAATTATGTTGGCTTAAGCAAATTTTGTGTATTTTTTCTCAATTTTTTTTTCTTTCTCTTCATCTTCTTAAATATATAAATTTTACTTAAGCCAATATAATTTACTTAAGTTAAAAAAATTTACTAAAGCTAATTTTACATAATTTTTTTATCATTTTATATATTTTTGTTTAAATGAATAAAGGAAAATAAAACTGAACATCTGAATTAGATTGGATTTAGATTAAACAATAAAAATTCTTAAAATAAAATTTTATCTAATTTTAATTATTTTTTTAGCATAAATATTTTACTACAAATTTTAAAATTTTATAATAACTTTTAAAATGATTTTAAATAAATTATATATAATAATATATATCATTAGTAAGTTATTACATGTCTTTTGCTTTTATTTATATCTTTAGGACACGGTATCTATAATTTTTTGAAAAATATTGTAGAACCACCTTATTTTCATATACCCAATTACTATTAGATCTCCCGATGCGTGTTGATCACTGCAGCTTTTTATCTCGGGTCTACGTGTTTTGCCACCATACGTTCTCGAAGGTAAATAATAAGTTGGCACCTCAACGGGTGTCTACATCTTCAGAGATATAGGAATAGAAGTGAAATAAGTGATAGATATGATAGATGATGTGATATGATAGAAAGAGAGAGAGAGAGAAGAATGAGAGGTATAAAATGGGTGTTTGAAAAGCTTATCATAGATTATTTTATTTTATTTTTATTTTTTTGCTATATATAAAAGAGAAGGTTGAGGCAATACTTGCAGCAAGCGAGCAAATTTCAAATAGAAATTTTGGACTTTGAGATATACTGAAAAAGAGAGAGAGATGGCTACGGGGTTGGCCTTGCCACGGTTCATAGCCCTCCAGGGAACCAGTAAATACTTGTGCTTCGTTCGTAAAGATGAAGAGCTTGGCGGTTTCTTACAGCACGCTGGAGATGAGAATGTGAGTCCATGCACCAAGTTTGAAACAGAGTGTGCTAGGACTGATGAAAACTTGGTGCACATAAAATGTTGTTATAACAACAAGTACTTGGTGAGATCTTCCCAGAAGGAATGTTGGATTGTTGGGGAAGCTCATGAACCCGAGGAAGACAAATCCAAATGGTCTTGCACGCTGTTCCGACCTTTTGTCACCGATGCTGATGAGAGTTCCTTCAAGTTCATTCATGTCCAATACGGGGGCTATTTGGACATTGATGCTGGTCTGAATTGCTTGTGCATTAGGCAAATAGATTTTGCGAGTGCGCGAAGCTTCAAAGTGGTAAACATGGAGTCCTCGGTGATACTGCCTCAACATGTTACGTTCAAAGGTTATAATGACTTATACCTTAGTGCACGGGTGATCCAAAACTATCCATATCATCAGTTTGCATCCGACGACATTTATGATCCAACCATTAGGTACGGAGACATATTTTATTTCCACACTAGATTTCTTAGACACTTTTTTTATCCAAATCATCCGTGTCTTTTTCCTATTTTTTTCTTGTCTCAAATAATCCAAAATCACCGCAGTTAATTGGTTATTAAAAAAAATTAATATGTTATAAAACTGTATGATGTAAAATAATTTTATTAGTTGTGAGAGAAAATAAGACAAAAAAAGAATTGAAGGTTTGAATTATATTCAACACTCTTTTTTTTATTATTATTATTATGAGTAATTCTACTGTAAACCCTCTTTTTTTTTTTATTTTATAGATGGACAATTTTTTAATTTAGTTAATTTATGATATCTTACTTAGTTTTTTAATCTATAAAATAATTATTTACAAAAAAAAAACTCCTAATTATATTGTCAATTATAATATTTTGTTTTATCCATTTTTTTTGTCTTATTTTGCTATTTGGCATGACTATTTAAAATATTGTTATTGTTGCGATACTCCAAAATTGCTAGTTGTTTTTTAGTGTTATTTTTTCATATGTTTAATTAGGGATAATGAATAACTTATTATGCATCTTATCCATTTTTAAAAAAATAATAATAAATTTAACAGTTTACCTTGACTTTAAAAACTGGTCCTCTGGTGAATAGAAAAACAAGTGGTATATGATAAACAAATCTTATTACTATTTCTGTCTCCCTTTAATTTCATAAAAATTTTAAATTTTTTATGTATTAATATAATTTCTTTTAGGTACGAGGTCTTCAAAGCAAGTAACGGAAATGTTCGCATAAAGTCCAATCACTTTGGCAAGTTTTGGCGGCGTAGTCCCAACTGGATATGGGCGGACAGTGATGACACCACTGTCAGGAACAATGACACATTGTTTCGGCCAGTCAGGATTAAAGGCAATGTTATTGCTCTCAAAAATTTAGGCAACGACCGCTTTTGCAATGCCCTAACCACAGAGGGCAAGACTAACTGCCTTAATGCCCTTGAGGCTGAGATTAATAAATGGTCTCATCTTCAAATGTATGAGGTTGTAAGCAAAAGGGAAATCTATGATGTAACATATCACGTAAACAATGCCAAGACTTATAAAGCACCAGGCGGAACTGTGGTGACCAAAGAGATAGATAATGAGACTGCTTCCGAAGCAGAGGGAACAGTGAGTTTTTTATACAAAGAAACTAAGACCCAAACTTGGAATGCTTCTCATGCTTGGTCTATGGAAGTTTCCACCACTATAAAAACCGGTATTCCATTTCTGGCAGATGGAGCAATTAATGTTGGTGCGTCATATACAGGAGCATTTTCCTGGGGAGAAACTATTGAACAATCAACAGAAACCAGGACAAATTTGACTGTAAATGTTTCGCGCATGGCCACGACAAAAGTGACTCTAATAGTAACAAAAGGAGCCATAGACGTCCCATTCTCATACACTCAACGTGACACTCTTTTTAGTGGAAAAATTGTGACCTCACGATTTGATGATGGCCTGTTTACTGGGGTCACTACCTCCTTCAAATATCACATCGTGGGACAGTGTCTTCCTCCAACAACAAAATAGGCAGTTTTAATTTGTTCGTTGATTGCTTGCTTGCAGATTGTTCGAATCTCTTGATTTCGCTTGGTTTATAGTAAGACCCAACTGTAGTTGGCTTAGTGGGAATAAGGCCATCTTGGCTGAGCTTTTGTTTGTCTTGATTTCGCCAGTTTCATCTAAATTTGCTTTGTGTGCGATTCTAATGTATGTTAAATTCAGGTGTGTAACACATGTCATACATGAAATTCGTGAATATATTAATTAAATAATATGAATGTGTGTTATTTTATAGTTTTTAGATTTGTATATGATTATATATAATAAATTATTTTCATGTCAACTATTGCTGGACATAATTAACTAATCAAACAATTGAAAGATGAAAATTTGAATTTAAAGTTTTGAAATCAAATTATTATTAGAGTATTTGAATCCTTTGTATTTCTTGTCATATTATAATTATTTTAAAAATAATTATTAGGATGTGACACAACAATAAATTATAATTTGTTATCTATGTAAAAGTTTTTACACTAACAATGCATAGTTATTAAACTCTAATTTATTTTATCATAATATCTTCATTAAGTTAATTGTGTCTAAACTAGCATACACTATACTTTATCTTGCTTTTTTTATAAATTAATTTCATTAAATAGATTGTACACAAATAAGTATTTATTTAATTAATTGCATGATATTATTATAATACATTAATAGTTATATTAAATATTAAAACATGTATAAATTGTATTACGACTATTATTAAAACATAAATATTAAATAATAATTAGATGTAAAAAGAGTAAACTTATAATACATGTCATTTTTGAAGTAAAACAAAACTAAAAATAATAAATCAAAATAAACTTCAATTAATAAAGAAGAATTCAAATTCAACATATATAATTGGAAATATAAAAAAAAATTCATTTTAAAAAAACATAAGAAGATGATTGGTTGTATTATCGAACTTGATAAAAATAAATCAGCCCTTTATCATTTGAAATTTAAAAATATTGTAAGTAATTACAAATATCAAGAATGTTAATTAAAATTTTAAAATATAAAAATACAAACATAAATATCTAACAAAAGGTGCCAATTGTAATATTGGCATTTTACTCTGGAGTCCAATTTTGTAGAAAATTGATCTAAGACCTGAAAGAACAACTCTGGAGTCCAGTTTGTTCCTAGTGGTTGCATCTTTCCAGATTCTAAGCGTTTTTGGGTAACATTTACTGTTTTGACGATATCTCAAGGTACGGGTCGAGTTTCGAGACGATTCTTTTTTCGTTGCAAAACTCTTTTCTGGAGCTTCACTATGGAGTCCAGTTTTGCAGAAAATGGATCCCGTAGATGAAAGATATTTCCTTCGCAACTTGTTCAACACAGCTGCACTTTTAGTGCTATTTTAGTATTTTGGCGATATCTCGACCTGTGGGCCAAGTTTTGAGCTGATTCCGGATTTATTTTGAAGCTCTCGTCAGGGCTTCACTCTAGAGTCTGGTTTTGCAGAAAACGAATCTTGGACTTGAAAGATATGACTTTCACAGTTTGTTCCGAGCGGCTACACCTATCTAGATTCTGAGCGTTTTCGTGTAATGTTTACTGTTTCCACGATATCTCGAGCTATGGGTTAAGTTTCAAGACAATTCTTTTTTTGTTGCAAAAATCTTTTCTGGTGCTTCACTATGGAGTCCAATTTTGTAGAAAATAGAGCCCGCAGATGAAAGCTATGACCTTCACAACTTGTTTCACACGTTTGCACTTTCAGTCCCATTTTACAGTTTCGTCGATATCTCGAGTTGTGGGCTGCGTTTTGAGTTGGTTCCTAATTTATTTCAAAGTTGTCTTCAGGGGCGTCACTCTAGGGTCCAATTTTTATAGAAAATAGATCTCAGACCTAAAAGATATGGCCTTCGCAGTTTGTTCTGAGCGGCTGCACTGTTCCAGATTCTGAGCATTTTTGGCCATTGTTTGCTGTTTCGATGATATATTGTGATATAGGTCGAGTTTTATAGAAAATAGATCTCAGAGATGAGAGATATGTCGTTTGCAACTTGTGCCAAATGGCTGCACTTAAAGCTCCATTTTACTATTTTGGTGATATCTCGAGTTGTGGCTGCGTTTTAAGCTGGTTCCTAATTCATTTCGAAGCTCTCTTTAGGAGATTCACTCTGGAGTCCAATTTTGCAGAAAACGGACCTCGGTCCTTAAGATATTTCCTTCACAATTATTTTTGAGCGGCTGCACCCATCCAGATTCTGAGCGTTTTTGAGTAACGTTTACTATTTCAACAATATCTTGAGCTATGGGTCGAGTTTCGAGATGATTCTTTTTTCGTTGTAAAGCTCTTTTCTAGAGCTTTAATATGGAGTCTAATTTTGCAAAAAATGGACCCTATAGGCGAAAGACATGGTGATGAATCCATATTTTACTAGTATTTTACAATAGTTTTTAGTGCAATTAATAAAGAAAACATGCTAGAAATAGTAAAAAACCCTTAAAAAAATAATAAAATGTTGCATGTCACTTTTAAACATAGTTATTTTAAAATTCATTGATTTTCTATGTAAAAAGTGACATTTCAAGTATGCTTTTGTAGGGAATTTTGAGCAAAGTTCATGAGGATTGGATGATCAAAGGAAAAATAGAAGAAAAGTAGCAAAAATTAGAGGAAAGAAGTTGATAATTGAAGAACAGCCTCTGAGTGATCACTTTCGCTGGTGAAAGTGATCACTCCAGAACCATAAAATGAAGAAGAGCTTCTGCGTAATCACTTTTGCTGGCAAAAGTGATCGTTCTAGAGAGGTTGCAATGAGAAGAGCTTCTGCGTGATGACTTTTTCTGGAAAAAGTGAGCGTTCCAGAGAGTCCTCCAAGAAGAGTAGCTGTGCGTGTTCACTATTATCCACAAAAGTGAACACGCGCAAGAAGGTAGCTTCTGCGTGTTCACTATTTCTAGCAGAAGTGAACATGCTCATGACATTAGTAAGGGAAGTTTCTGCGTGGCTACTATTTTCAACAAAAGTGAACACTTTGAAGTGCGCACGGCTACTATCACCAGCAAAAGTGAACACGCGCAAGTGGAAATGAAGAATTAGCCTCTGCATGATTACTATTGCTGGAAAAAGTGATCATGCCAGTAGAGCAGGAATTCTATAAAAGACAGTTAGCTCAGGAATTTAGAGTTTTTGTTCATTTTTTATTTTCCATTTGTTTTTGTTGTTGAGAGAGTCAGAGAGAGAGATTGAGGACGAACACCAAGCTTCATTTCTTGAGGGATCAGATTGGAGATTGGCTTGAAGATGTTTCTTCTTTATTCATTCTCTTCTTCTCTTCTCTTCTCTTCTCTTTTTGTAATGTTTGCCTAAACTCTTTGTGGTTAGGAATTGTGAATATGAAATGGAAATGTTGAATTGATTTTGGATCTGAACTTTGAGTTTTGGATTGGATTGAGTGATTGATTCTGCTGTTAAACTAGTGATTGAATGGAAATTTAATCAACTAATCATAGAGGAACTCTTATCAATGGGAATTGAATTTGTTTCTCAGATCTGAATTAATTGCCAAGGTTATTTGTTTCTTAGGGATAAGATATCTTAATCTTGCAATCTTTTGGTTTCTCAAACTTAATGCAATATTTGATTGGATTAGATCTAAGGGATTAGAATGATTTGATTAGATGTTAGATTAATTGAGGCAAGGGATTGTCCTTTGATTAATATAACGTGAAATTGATTGTCATTCCATCTAAATGCTTGAAAGTTCAGAACTTTATTAATTCAATGTTGAAGTTTTGGTGAAACAATTTCCTAACTACTCTTTCTACATCTATTTACTATATACTTTTGTATTAGCTGTTCTGTTTTACTTTCTAATTTCATTTTTGATACATTCATACCAAATCCATCTGAAATTTGTAAAGCTCAACTAATTGTGATCTTGTGAAGTGGTAATTGAGAACTTTATTCCCTGAGGATGATACTTGGAACTTAATTTAATTCTAAGATTTTTTTATAACTTACTACAACAACACTAGTACACTTGCTAGTCAGTTTACTTTCAGTGCAACAACAGTTGTAAAAGTAATAAGTTTTTGGCGCCATTGTCGGGGAATAATTTGTTTCAATATCATTAGTAACAGGAAAATAACTAGATTGAACATTTGTTTCTTTAAATTTTCTGCAAATATTACATTATATGTGCAGTTTTCTATTTTCATTATACTATATCTGTGTTTAGTTGTATATGCGTGGCAAAAACAAAAATAAATCTACTCTTGTCTTTGATCCTGACATTGATAGAACTCTTAGGAGATTAAGAAAAGAGACTAGAGCAGAGAGATCTGTAGGAAGTGACAGTGATCTAGAGGTTATACATTCTCCAGAATTTCAAGTCACTCCTTTTGCAAATAGGAAACATTCACCTTTTAGACAACCAACTACAAAAGTTGAAATGGCAGAACAACATAGAATGAGAACACTAGGAGATTATGCAATTCCAGATATGCAAGGCTATAATTCTTCAATTGTTAGACTAACCATTCAAGCCAATCATTTTGAGATAAAACCAGCCTTACTTCACCTAGTGCAGCAGGACCAATTTTCTGGTGGAATTTCTGATGATCTTAATCTGCATATTTCTAATTTTCTGCAGTTGTGTGATACTATAAGGATGAATGGAGTAAGTGAAGATGCTATAAGACTGAGGCTATTTCCATTTTCTTTAAGAGACAAAGCCAAATGTTGGTTACAAGTACAGCTTCAGGGAAGTATCACCACATGGACTGAACTTGTGAATAAATTTCTAACAAAATATTTTTCTCCCTCAAAAGCTGCTAAGCTGAGAGGAGAAATAACATCTTTTGTGCAGCAGGAAGGAGAATCACTTTATGTAGCATGGGAAAGATATAAAGAGTTGCTGAGAAGATGCCCACATCATTGTATTCCAGAATGGATGCAGTTGGAAACTTTTTATAATGGAATGAATGTAGTAATTAGAACTATGATTGATGCAGCT